TTTTTTTTTTTTTTTTTTTTTGTTTTCATTTCTTTCGTAAGTATGTCTCCTTGCGAAATCATGTTCTCTATCTGTCTTCTACGTTGGAAAGCTGTCAAATCGATCTAGTTTGTTGGAATCAACAAAAAGTCAACAACTTCCTGATTTCTGTTAAACAACATGAAATTTGTATAAGCTTATGCTTATGCGAATGTGTGTGCGTTTGATTGTTTGTGTGTTCGTTCATGTTTTTTTTTTTTTTCTTTTACTTTTTGTACATAAAAGCGCACATAAAAAGGCACATGTCAATATTTGTTTAATGTTGCAAACAACAGCAGCAAACAGTAGCTGTTGTTAGAGAGTAAGCCGCTGCTGTATATACCACTACCGATACATTGCTTAAGTTTTCAATTCAATTTCAATTGATTGTCATACAATCATTATATGAATAATTCAATTGCAAAATACATATAAACAGACAGACAAATAAACAAACTGAGACAAAGCCATAACAGAGTCAACGAGCCACTGATGCACACAATCAATACCAGATTTTTCATTTACATTTTTCACAAAGTCGTCTTTACTTGCGTGCGTTATGCTTGCATCTGTGTATGTATGTATATGTGTATATACGCGCGTGTGTGTGTGTGTGTGTGTGTGTGTGTGTGTGTGTGTGTGTGTGCCTTTTTACGTGCGCAATTATGTGTAAATACAGATTTACGCATATATCCACTAGTGATCATCTCCTCGTGATACAAGCATTTTTGCATGTGTGCGTGAATTTAATAAAAAAGATGCGAATGAAAATTATTTTAAAAAAACGAAAGAAAAGAAACACAAAGAACAAACTTAAAATTTCTTTATAATTGCTTCCCTCCCTATATTTTTGGTTAATTTAAAATAAAGAACAAAACAACAAAACTAAGAAAATAGTCAAAAACGATAACGACGAACAAAAACAAGCGGACAAGCTCATACTCCCACTTTTGTGGCGAATCATGAACCGTCAGCTTATTTAAAAATGAAAAGCCGTGAAGCCTGCTGTGATCGATTACGCGATATTTTAAAGTATTTGCATACGATTCTAACTAATTGTGGAAATGAATCCCGAAAGTGCTGTAATTCGAAACTTACAAGCCAAAGATTTTTTTTTCCCCCCTTATAAACCTATTTATGGTCGGCCTATTTAGTTAATCTTCATTTGCAGTATTGCCCTTAGGTACCTAAGACTACAGCACTAGTGATCTTTTTTAGAAAATAGTGCCAATAATCTTAGTGGCTAGCGCCTGTTTTGATTTAGTTCTAAAATGTATTTTTTATTTTATGAGAGACAGAAATGTGGGCGAAGATAGGTTCTCAGCTAAATTAACGTAGAATCTCATTTAAACATACATACATATATGCATAAATTCCGGAATTAAAGAGACAACAATAAAATCCAGATAAATTAACAGTATTATGTTATCAAATAGTGAAGAAGAGAAGAAAACATTAAGGGCCACGGCCCTATAGTTAGTAAGGACTTCCAAGTCAAGTGGGAAGTAATAGAAAAACTGTCCGATCCAAACCATTTTCAATAGTTTTTCTCCTTGGAGCAAAATATACAAGAATTGAATAGAAGAAAACAAAACGGACAGACGGCCAGAGAAGTTTAGAGTGAAAGTGCTTTTCAAGTAATCGATCGTTCGAGTAATAAAAGGTGGGTGTATGTCAAATTCCTCTGGATGTTACAGACACCCGATAAACTTAACATTGTACTGCAATAGGTGTGGGTTATAATTAAAAATGATTAAGAGATCGAGTAATTTTACTTATCTACTGTAGTAAATATATAATAAATATGCAAAGTCATTTAAGCAGTCAATAAACAAGTATTTGATAGCCTTGCCGTTCTCAAATCACGATAGGTCGAACGACAGAATCAAAGAATTCACAAGAACAACATTGATCGTTTTAAATAATGACAACTTAATAGGGTCTTAATTAAGGCAGTGAAAAATTTTACAAAATCGCCGCAAATTTCATAAGATTTTAGAAGCGCATTCTATATAAAAAAATATATAAATAGATGCAAAGACATGGAACGAAATTCTACCTGATGATCTAAACCGAATGCACAAAATGCATTAAAGTGTTTTCTTAATTGTAGGGATGATGATTGGCTGCCTAAAACCTTTTCACGCTCACTTTCAAAATGGCTTGGATATATAATCATATGACGTTTTAGTCTACTATATCCTATTGACAATAAGTTATCGTACTTTCGAGTTTGAGTTTGCCCATCATCCAAGAGAAAATACTGAGTGTCTGCGTTCTAAATCGATTCCTGTTACACTAAATCGATTACTTAGATCACTATGGACAGATAGACGGACAAGGCCGATGAAAAGTGTACGCGTTTATGAGTTGTATTTTCGATATCTACAAATCGAAAGGACAAACATAATAATGATAAAATTTTCCCGAATGGTCGTTTTGTGGTATCACAAGTTTTCTAACGGGATGGAGGAAGAAAATTCCTTCCTCCTGCTTATTTATGCATTACCGAACAAAAGCATTTATATCCAGTTTTCTTTAGTTTTTCAATTATCGAACGTCCACATTTTCGAATTTTAGGTTAAGCTTAATTAAAGGCAATCATCTCATATTTAATTAAATTAAATTTTTTGAATTAAATTCTGTGAGATCAACTCCTTTACGCTACAAATAACAAATTTTTAAAGGCATTGCTTATGTTTAATTAGTTTCAAGTTTTTTACTTAAGTCTTTTGTTCGCCAGAGAGTTTAATTGAACTTAATAAGTGCATCATCTAATAATATACAGTCACACTCCCCAATCATTGCACCACATAGACGAGCATAGCTTAAATATATGCATACAAGTTAGTATACAACGCTCTTAACTCCTCCTCTATGAATTGTATTAGAGAGTAAAGCTGGTGCGATCACATATAATGCCAAACGCATTTATGCTAACAACCACTACATGAATATAGCAATAACAACAGGAGCAAGAAAAGCAAAAATAAAAACAGTAACAACAATAATAATGAAACTCGTATAACTGTATTGTGTGTAAGATTAAGCAAACAAACCACAGCAACAAGAGCTATATAATAGACTAGAAATGAATGCAGCAAAGTAAACCAATCAACCAACCAAAACAAAGCAAAAATTGAGCCATTGGTAAGAAAAAAACAAAAAACACAAAAATAACAAAGAAATAACAAAAGGGAAACAAAAGAATATGACAAAAGAAAATAAAAGCGAATAAGAGATATAACGAACCAGAGAATGCCAACAGCGACAACGATAATGAGTATGAAAATAAAAACGATATAGATAATAATGATGATAATGATAATTATGATAATGATAATAATGATGTTTACCACTTTATTAGACTCGTGTATTGCTAATAAAACAGTTAGTTTGTTAAGTTTGTTAAGCAAAGATCAAACCAACGTACAACGGCAACAGCAAACAACTCAAACCACTGTTAAAATTAACAGAATTTTTTCTTTTTTTTTTTTTCAACTAACTACACGTGGTGTTGATTTCGTTATTATAGGATCCTGCAGTTAAGATATTTTCATGATTTTTGTTTATGTTAAGACTTAACAGCAATTGGTTGAAAGCACGTTTCTAGACAATGTTCGTTGCTAGTTAGTTAGTCACTGATGGTCGTTTCATATACGTATATATACGAAACGATCATTATAATGGTGGCCGTCATCGTCATCATCATAATCATTATTATCATCAACATCATCATCATTTCTCTCATCATTACCCGGTTTATCGAACAATACATGCATATATGCGGACATATATGTGCTTTTGCTGTGTATTGTTGTTTTTCAGATTTTGTTTTCATCTTGCAATTCTTTGCCCAGTTATTATTTTTTTATCAGTTTTCATTTGTTAAGACTGCTCTTCAGTCTATTAGTGACGCTTTGCTGTTTAACATCAGGTGTAAAAACGCGCACGTCTATTACTTTCTGAGATTCGTTGCACTCTTTGTTTTTTTTTTTTTTTTTTTCAAATCAATTTTTTTTCGGATATCAAACATACACACAGTGTAACAGTGTTTTCGACTAAACCAAATTTAAAATCATTTATTAATAAGAATCAAGTTGAAACAAAAGGAGGAAAAAAAAAAAAAAAAAACAGAATTAATTTTGACTTAAATCGGTGTGCGATGCTATTTATAATAATACTATGCAGGAAAAAATAGAAATAAATAAGATAAAATAAAACATAACAAACAAATGTTTACAGTGACAATTATAACACCGCCGCTTTACATACAGCGTTTGTTTTTGCTTTTTTATCATATTATTATCATTTGCATAAAATCGCACTGCTTCGATTCTTTACTTTAAAGATGCATAAGTAACATTATAAAAGAGAAGTTTTTCTTTTTTTTTTAATTTTTTTTTTTTTTTTTTTTTTTTTTTTTTTGTTATTTTTATTTTATATCGCTATGAGGACTCCCCAAAAATCTAGGGAAAAATGTTACTAAAACATAAAAAGAGTTTCACGTGTGCACATGAAAAGTGTTAGTGTAAGCTGGAGTCGAAGGGGAGATTAACACAAAAAAAAGTAAGAAAAAATAAAAGGCGAAAAGTTGTAAAATATAATAAGACCGCGAACCAAAAACACCCAGCAGAGGATATATGCTAAAGAAGTTTCAAGAAGTGACTCGTTTAAGGTGAGTTTCCGTTTACCGTTTCTTATTTTCTTTTCTTTTTTTTTTTATATTTTGCCCACTAAATTATTTGTTTTCATATATATTTACAATACGAAAAGTAATAAAAAAAAAAAAAAAAACAAAATTGTGCTTACTGTTACGTAAAGGTAATGCAATGAAATTATGAGGGGAAAAAATAGTTGTTCAAAAATACTTTAAGAACTACCCACGATTGGAGATTGCTTGGGGGCAATATTGTATTTAAAGCAATTTAATGAAATAAATATTGGGATTATATATGTAGGATACACACACACACACACACACACACACACACACACACACACACACACAAAGTTAGAAAGAGTTTATAGTTGAAAATTGTTAGCTTCTTATTCCTGACTATATGCTATAAAAGAAAGAGAAATGCTATATTTTGAAGGCCTCACAGCGTAGAAGAAAGTTCGATTAAGGACAAATCTTGGACACTTGTCATCTAAAGAAAACACTTAAACAGCACACTTTTTCATTTTTTAGACATAACTGGTTAATTGCGTGTCCTGAGCAGCCAAACTTTTTTTTCTGTATACTTTGCGAGTTTTATTTATTGCTATATAAATTTATTTAGAGCAAAGAACTAAACTCTAGAGATGTTGTCTTATGGCTATCCCTAACTAATATTACAAGTGATCTACAAAAACAAAAGAATCGTAACAAGAATACGCGTATTTTTCTTCCATGGGAGGAAGACGAAGAAAATCGCATCCGCTATGACGAGCAAAGTTTCATTATCCGTGCAAATATCTAGAAGCATTAAAGAATTATTTTTTTATGAGGGCGTGACAATCGGTAATTTTCCATTGAATTTTTAATTAGCTCTCGAAAATATTTATATTAAATACAGTTTGCTTACCCAGAATCTTCAAGAGGAATTCATCTGTGGGCATTAGCTAATGCTAGTTTTTCATTCTAAATGTTTTGAGCTTGACGAGAATGAAACAAACGAATTGGAACTAAATCGAATTGCAGTCAGTAATCACAAGTATATAAGATGTGTGCTGCATTGTCCCTCCATTGTTATCAATTCGCGAGTGGAGTTCTTCCTTTGTCGCGATCTCTTGGAAAAGTGAAATGCCCGTCCGAATTTCCAAGCTTTCTCCCTTCTAATAATTAACGGAACAGATGGCGAGATGTACAATATCTTGTTTACTGTTTAAGGCTATAAGCTTCCCAGAGGATTTCAGATATTTATTTTTTTTTTTTTTCAGTGAAATAGTCTAATTGAAATATATATATATATATATATATATATATATATAAACTTCACTTGATCGACTAAGCGCTTTCTTTAAAAATGATTTCACTATAATATCAATGTCATGCTTTACTTAATAATAGTAGTAGCAGATCAAATGGGACTATTGTTGAGTTTATGTTCATTTAATATGCTAAGATGATACCAGAATTAGTTAATAGTATTTAAAAATTTAAAACCTAACAATAAAAAAAGGCCGTTCATCAGTTTCAAACCATAGGACCTGTGAGAAGAGGAGTACAGAGGAGGTCAATGCATAAATTTTATAACTAAATATTTTTTTTGTTTGATTTAACTGTCATAATATCATATATATGTAATAAGACCAAAAACAAACCGAAACTAAATCTATAAATCTTCTATGGGATTTCAGAGACTTACTTCTATTTGCGCTTCAACAATATAGCAGAAATTGCCTAAGTGAAGTGTGTACAAGCTTTATATAATCTGTCAATGTGCACAATTCAGTATCGTGCAAACAAAGCTTGGCTTTCTTTAAAGGTTTTAAAGGATTATATCATTGTGATAACTTAAGACTTAAGACTAATTGTGAACCCATATTAAATTTAATAATATAAAAAGAATTTATTAGCTTAACATGTTAGCCGGTGTGACATTAATCTATAAATTTTGATATGTTATTGGCTCAATACTTTTTAAAATACATTTCATGAAACATAACAGAAGAAAAATGAGACTTGATGTGAAAAAGTACAGAAATTTGCTTCCATTCACTTTTTCATAGCATCCAAGTCGAGCTTAACACTTTTATACCGATCGTATATTTATCGTACGATCCCTAGGTTAATTATACAAAACAAGAATTTTACATTGATTAGCAACGAAATGAAATTGAATAAATTATACCAGGCCAGGTTTAATCTCGCCTCAGATTAATACTCAAAAAAAAAAAAAAAACAAAAAAAAATCAAAGTTCCATTTAAATGATGAAAATGAACTAAAAATGAAATTTAAAGCGCTGTAGGCCTAAATCTCTTGGAATTTGGAGTTGAGAACTTTAAAAATAAAAACAAACAAATGTCTCGCTAATTTAATACATGTTTTCCGCCGCTTCTTCAAATATTGATATTTTTCATATTTTCGAATATATCGAGCATACGTAAAGGCTTCCGACTCAAGCCACCTGAGTCGAGATTTGAGATATCTATAATCGTAGTCCGTCTTTCGTTTCGTGCTTTTACTACCGACTTTATTCGAATACAAAATATTTTTTTAAGTTTCAAATTATCTAAAATATATTCGATTGAGCCATTAAAGGGTAAAAACTCATCACAAACTTATTTCATTCATTTAATTTCATATACGTTTTAGATTCATTGAAATTCCACAAAATTTATTTCTATATATCTATGCATATATGTACTAATATATTATATATATATATATATGTATGTATATATAATAAATTGATTAGATCAATAAGTCCCGGGATTAAGTAATAAAAACCGGCTTTTTGCACAATTCCGTTTTATTCATCAATGCAGGCTCCTTTATGATTAAAATATAATCAGTTCAATCCTTCTCCCACGTTTCGATGCCTTTGCGAATTTTATTGACCGATGATTTATATATATACAAATCTAAACCGCATGTTATGTATCACAAGATTGAGCGCTTATTAGGCTGAAGATGAGTTGGACCTTTTAAGAGTAAAGAGCTTTTGAAAGTTTCCCCCGAAACCTTGAACCCGAAGACCTGTCTTGGTAATTACTACAAAGTTAAATTTCTTGCAGCTGGTGCGTATCAAACAATTACCCTCCTTGTTTGAATACAAAAGGTTAATAAATTCTATTTAAACATAATTTCCAAAAAAATAAAAAAAAAAAAACTTTTAATAGAAAACAAATTTGACCAAAAGCGGCATAAGTTTCAGTTAAGTACATTTTTTTTTTTTTTTTGTTTTTCTAACGTTTCTTGAAAAACAACACATTACCATGTTAACCACATATTTACCATTTAACTCGTATATGTGTCTCTTGTTCTACCAAATTTGTTATGACCAAACTGAAATACTTAACTAAGGAAAACACAAAAAAAGTGTAAAAATGTTAAAAATTTTGTTACATATAGTGTTTCATGTTCTCTCTTTCTCGCTTACTCTGTCTATTTATATTTCGCTCTCTCTCTCTCTCTCTCTTTCTCTCTTTCTCTCTTTCTCTCTTTTTCTTTCTCTCTCTCTCTCTCTCTCTCTCTTTCTCTATATTTCTCCATTTGTCTGCACGCAAACGCAACAGCCAAGAAACATATAATAACTTATCGTTAACTCAGATTATATGGACATTTGATGTCAATGCTGTACAGAAACAATTTGTACTGAAAGGCAATAAAGATTTATTGTCGCGTTTTTTTATGAAATTACTTTGCCAATAAGTAGTCAAATATGATCGAGCAAAAAACAAAAACAAAATAAATAAATAAACAACATTGATCAAAAGAAAAACAAAAAAAAAAAAAAAAACAAATGCTTATAGGGAAAGAGAGTAAAAGAAACGAGTTACTGCAAATTTATCAATCGAAAGCGATGTCAATACTTCTTTTGGCTTTTTACTAATATAATGTACAAAAAACAAAAAAAAAAAAAAAAAACAAAAAAAAACGAAAACAAATTGTAGTACAATTAAACTTAATAAATTTGTTAAATACAAAAAAAAAAATAAAAATTTATTAAAACTCAAGTTAATGTAAAAAAAGAAATTTCAGAGAAACAATTCATGCTAAGATGTATGGTAACATATACGAATATTGTATATACAATGGCAATCTGTGCATGGAACTATATATGTCGGGGTATCGCTATTTCTTAATATCGATCAAGTCAATATTATATATCCCAATATTTGTATGCGTGATTTTAAAACACTTAAAGAACTAAGCATGCGTGTGCTGGATTAAGGGAAGTTTCCGAGTTTATTATGCTCCGAGATGAAACAACTAAAGGCAACACCAACATTATTTAATCAGTTAACTGTGTATGACGAATATATATTAGGTATTTCCGTCAATTTTGATCAGCGACATCTATTGGTGGTAATTGATAAAGTAATGATTTTGATCCTTCGCTAAATGAAATAACCGTAATACTATTTAGTATTATCGAGTTATTCATTGCATAAAGACGCTAATCGTGGAACGTTCAAAATTGCATTATCGATATTCGTTACTTTTGTTGTTTGATTTGAAGAAATCTGTTGCCGCAGCCCACCGAAATGCTTCTGCACCATATATAAATAAGAATTTCCGAGTTTAGTTTCAACGGTTTAAAAGTGACAAAGAAGGGCCTGGAGGATTGAAAAAGTTCAAGGACCATCAATTACAAGAGAACTTAAACTCTTGAAAAACTTTCGAATAACTTAACAGTTGACGAATCAACTGTTTCTAGATATATATATACGATGGGAAAGGTCCAAAGGGAGGAAAAACGACTGAAAATGCCATATTAACCACTTGTGGCAAGAATTGTCAAGGATACACTGTTGCAGCTCGAATGGGAAGTTCTGCCACACCCAGCATACTATCCAGACATGGGGAGTACCACCCGTTCAGCTTGATGTAGCTGTGGTTTGGCTAGTACGCGGCTCTGTAAAGTCGCAGAAGTGCGAAAATGAGTCGCCGTCAATCCAGTGTAAGTTCTTTCGACATGATACCGCCACGTTGCCAAAAATATTGTCAGATGACGTAGACATCT